GCAAGAGGTCGAGCGTTGGCGCAGTTTACCGCACCCGTGATTGGCTATCTCAGAGGCGGGCCGTAACCTTGTAGTGACTCACTCCGCGCAGAAGCTCACGCAAGAACGCTCACTGCTGCTAACGAGCGCGCTTGCACTGATGTCGGTTTCTGGGACAGCTAATCACAGGTGAGTTTGCCTACCCTGGTCTGACCAATCACCTTTCAAGATTGACTCAAAGGAGGACTGCTCGAGATGCTTGTGACGATTCCCACGACCACACCACTTCCGATGCGGTCCTTTGGCTTGCGGTTGTGGGTTCGTCCGACAGTCAATTTCCTTGTACCCATTCTTAACTTCTGTAAAGAACAAACTATTTCTTCCACCTGGCGTCTCAACCTTCTCCTCTTTCCGCAAGAAAACGGCCCTGAAGGTCGCACTTGCCAGGATTTTCTTCATAAACATAACCCCTGCGATAAGCTCACGTGTGCCATGGCCCGCCTGGCAATGAAACGCAAGACCTGACTCTCACAAGCTTCGAACAGGGGGATTTCGATCTCACCTAAGTAAGAGACGTTATAAAACCCACTTTGAGAAGAAACCACTACAGTTTGATCCTTGTTCCAAGAGAGAATCAAGTTATCCCCTTATCTGGTAGCATTCTAAATTCGATTATGCATAACTGACAGATTAGGGTTGATAAGCTGAAATATAAGGCAGACTCACCGGCCCAAATATCGATCAGCCCGAGGTCAACAAACAGGTCATGGCAGACCACTTCCGATCCTGTTCGATTACCTGCAGTTTGCGCTTTGATAACGGAGAGCCGGCTAAGCATTTAAAAACCTCGGCTTATTAGTAAACTTGTTCCAGTGAGCCCGCCTTATTTCTCAGCCGTCCAAGCTGCATCTTAAAGCGCGTCATGGTACCTTCAAGTGGCTCCGATTTTTTACGCCGTGAAATACCTTGAGACGACGTAGCCCCAATATCAGTTTCGACCTCCTCCTCCTCCTCCTTCTCCCGTGTCCTACTTATTCATTTGAATCTTTCGGGCGAACGGTGAGGAAATCGCTGCGGTGGACGTAAAAGCCTCCGCTTCTCTCACAAAAGGTTTATTTTCCGACGTAAGTATACTTGTTCTGCTTTATTCACCCGTTTTATGCATGAACAGACTTGCTGTACACTTAAAATTTCCATTTACTTAGTAACCCCGATCTTAACTACTTCGAAAATTTTGGTTTTTATAAACAGCCTAATATATCTAACCAACGTAATATTACTTGAAAAAACCCAGTCTCTCCCCCCTTCTCCCCTGGATCGCCTCCAACAAGCCCTCACGGCCGCGTTACCAGCCGTCTGTTATCAATCTCCTACCCCTCCCCTACTCCCATGACTAATTTGCATGAAATGACGAACGTAATTGACCGCATGCTTATCCTTGACCCCGTTCCCATATAAATGTACTGGTCCGATGAGAATTTATCGAAAAATACGTATGCTCACAAACTGCTCTTCTGAATCCTCTGATGGGAGGTCTTGCAAATTTAAAAGTATAATGTCTTCTTTTGTATTAGGAAGTTTACTTTACTACTGTAAAACTTTGGCAGACGCAGCTTGAGCTGATTTTGCGTCCTAGGGACTGTAGGTCAAATGAGAGTACGACAAGGTCTAAAGGCTGACGCAGACTTAGTGTGATCCACAAGAATGTCCTCCATGGACCAATATGGTCACCGTCTTGATTCAGCGCTACCATAACGGAACTCGTATGGAGGGGGAGGGACACAACATCGAAATAATCAAATTATAACACTTACGGGATAGGGAAAGAAGAGGATGAAGACGAGAGCGACAATCACTAGTATAGCGACAATCAGAGCGCCGATAAAAAGCTAAGAAGAATAGCGGGATTATAAGGCTCGAGAGCACAGAATAACCAACCGTTATTAGGAGAAACCTATTGTCGGCGGACATTCCACAGATGCCAAACAACGCCAGACAGGCAGTACAGAGACCGGCGAAGAGGAGGACGTACACACCATAATAGTAGATGGTGGCATCAAAGACTCGGGATACCTCACTGTGCGTGAGGATTGTTGTCAGACTGATGCCAAATACAATACCTCCAAGGATCTATAAACGCACACATAAGCAGCCAAGTGGGCAAGCCAGCTTACAAGACTTATCACGCAAAATAGATTGCCAAGAGAGTGAATGAAGAAAGCGCAAGTGCAGAGGTGATCCGGATCCTTGACCTTCCTCGAGGTGACTGTCCGGTGCATTCTGTTAAGGGGGATAAAAAAACAGTGGAAGGTGAATATCCCCCAGATTCCTCTGTTGACCCACTCAGCCCAAATGCCGGCATGGCTATGGGATTTGTTTTGAAAACTAACTTCTATGGACATTTGACGGGTTTTATGAGCGAGTTCGCATGCCATAGTCCACTACAACCACGTGAAGCGGAATTTAACAGGGATTTGGGTTTCAGAGATTACCCGACTGAACAGATTTATCCACCCAAAGGATGGGATTCAAGGATTACTAATAATAACAAGTACTTCTGTAGACCAAGACCAGTCCCCGAGTAGGAAAGAGGACTTTCAGATCAACTTGATGGAATGGTTGTTTTCCAACTTAGTCACAAACTTGGCACCGGTAAGTGGGACTGTAACGGCTAAGACAGTGAGCATAACTTGGTCACGACATAACACGAACACGCGACGTTAGACGTCACGAAAGCCACTTTCTCGACTCCACCGCCCAGTTTCCTGTCACCCAACGTTTTCATGAGTAAAAACGAAGGCCTCGAAGCCTAGTCGGCACCTTAGATAGGGCCCATTAAAACAATTCAGCCAGTTGATAGCAGAACCTACAGCTACAATTCAATTGTGCGGGCAGACCTCCTACAAGTTCAGCCCTAGACTGTTCATCGCAGTTCTCAAGGTGGTTCAATTATCAGTATCGAAACTCGTGAACTGGATTACCCTCCAATCAGACAGTTTAATTACGTGTCTGCACCTATAAAACTCCCGTCTTCCGACACGCTATATAGTCCCTAAACCCGGACTGCAATGTAGTCCTTAAGCGAAGAATTCGTCCTCCTCTGCACTCATGGGATGTACTATCTCGATTCTGATCTATCCTCATTTAAATAATTGCTAACTTACTGCCATATTTAGTGGAGAACACCCTAATACATTCGCCGTCTACCTCATCATTAGCAGTTACACACAGGAAGCGGCATCAGGCAACACATGATGATTGGAGCAATGGGTCACACAGCCGACGCAGTTTTCTCGACAGTAGCAAGCGCTTGTTAAATAATTTAATAGCCTTGTTCGTGATCTAACTTCTCCCTTCTTTCTATGTCCGGTTGGGATCTGTGACCGAGAGCTGATAAATAGACGCCTTCAATTTTTAAGATGTATAGTCATGCTATGAACGTCCGCTTTCCTTGTGAAGACCGTCAAACGTCAACAAAACTAGTGACACTGACGTAATGTCATCAGACAATAGTCAAGCATGAGACGAATTTATCTCCTCTCGACCTGACGTTCTAGGTTTCATGGTTCATTCGAAGCGTCTACATGAGGTTTTCGGACCTTCGGTATTCGGTCTCCGGCGCTGGAGAAGAGACTGTTAGAGCTCTCCAGATCCGCTGCCACCAATCGTCACGCATGGAGAGGCACCGCCCGTGACATCATTGAGGCCGGCTCGATCAGGAATTATCAGAGCCGTAACAAGTACAAGTACAAGTCCACATCAAGGAGAATGCAATTACCGACACTTTTTGTTAGGGATAGATGGACGTCCGCAACCAGTCTCAACTCACTGGGTCCAAGCCACGAGTTCGGCCAAGTACTGCAGAAGATCCCTTCGCCAGTGCTACTTCCCGCATGCGCATTCCTCAAACTTTTGGAACCGCCTATCTTACCCCCAACGTAATATCTATACTCAACCCTACTACACCGAAACCAAAAAGAAATCCATTTTAATAATTTAACCAATGGGTTCCATCGACCGTCCTCTCCCTATCACAGCCCTTTTTTATTAGAAATGAACATCCAGCTCCACATTTCGGGTTGTCTAAAAGCACTTTATCCCTAACCAATTTTAGCCTGTCGCCTTCCTCTCAGAGTTATTACAGCAACTTCGCTTTATGAGTTTGCCATATATTATGATCCTAATACTGGATCGTATTCTGGACCGTTTATGTAAGCTAAACCAGGAGACTTAATAACTTCCATTTCAGCAATCTCCGGAGAATACTAGTGTCCAGATGAGAGGACAGAATTTCGGACACGGACGTCTTGGAGCCGACCGGAATCATCAACACCCAAAACATGCGGAGGCAACTGCAACTGCGATTGGGTGGCTACCTAGTTAGAATGGACAACCAGCGATTACCCCAACAAGTCTACGGAATTGTCGCTAAGGCTGCTCGCTGAGAAGGGAACGAATACGACAGTACAAAGACAATCAGCTGCAAATCAACCCGGAGAACTGGAAGGACCTAGCTCGGGACGACCGGCTTGGAGAAAAGCAACGAAGATCGGAATATCAATATATGAAGTAAACCTGGT